CTTAAAGTCTCCTCTCTATTTATGTTAAGAAGATTATTTAACATTATGCTTCTCAGAGATATCTTAAAAGACCTTAATTTCTTTTCGAATTTCAAATTTCCTTGGGTTCCGTTTCCTTCCTAAAAAGGAGCTGTACCGTTGTGTCAATCAATCGCGTCTGCATGATATTTGACAAGCCGCATTAATTAGGGTTCATCATCCTTAAACCTATTTGATACCGGGTCAAGAAGAAAAACACATCTTCGATCACCACAGCTCTCAACTTTCTATCTCTCTTGCATATCTGCCTTCAATGATCTGCTCTTCTCTTCGCACATAACCTTCAATGGCAGACCCTGTAAGAAACATCATTATCAAACTTGGAAGCAAGACACACTCTCCGGAGGTGTCCCTTAAGCATATTCAGACGCTGCTCCAGTTTGCTATGAAGAAGAAGCTCAAACTTGATCCTCTGCTTCGCGACGAGTTTTTAGTAACTGTGATGACCTATTACCCAGAGTTTTATGCAGAATGGTCTGAAGATGATGCGACTGAACTGCTTATGATGGTTTCTGAAGCCAGTGATGAAGTTTCTCCAGTATATAATCCAGAACCCTTGGATGGAAATCGGGCCGGGGCATTCCTTCAATACTTTGCACATCGAGCCCTAGAAATGGTTGAGGCCTCTCGACGGCAAGCGGGGGCGCAACCTCTGTATCTCGCAGCTGCTCAAAAAGAGGCAACACACAGACAGGAGATCATCCGAAACAGGTCAAACTATTCTGAAACTCTTATTGAAATTTCACCAGATAAACCTGATGTTTCTGCTACCCCATCTTGTGTGCCTGTTATTTCTGAAAATTTAACTGCTTTGGATTCCGAGAAGCCTCTTATGAATGTTGATTCTTTATCTCTGCCTTTGAGTGAATCTGTTGGTATGAAAATTGATTTGTTGCATGTGTCTGATGAGAAAGCAAAGTCCTCTGATGAGCTAAATCCACTGAGTTTAGTCATTTACTCTTCTGATAATATTGATCTGCCTCCTACTGAGAATGTTGATGACAATAAAGAAACTTGCTCTGCTGTTGATACTCCTGTTTTACTTGCTATTGTTGAAACTGTTGATTTATCAAGCCCCCACAAGTCTGAGAAAACAGGTGGAATTCCTGTTTACACTGCAACATCTTTAGGAGAGAGTCTGGAACATGTGCGACACTTTGCTGGGCTACCATCTGATTCCATCCCTCAACCATATCGAGTGATTCATCCTTCCGAATCCTCCAGTGAAGATGATAAAATACTGGCTGAAGTGTATGGATCTCAAGCACATCAATCTGATGTTCCAACTATTGAGGCAACTGCTCATCCTGACTCCACGAATTTCAAAATTCGAGAGATTTCGAATATTATTGGAAGCTCATCTGCAAATGTTTTTGATTTTAGCCACTCTGTGACTCCGGTTCAGTCCCCAACCAAGGAAACAAGACGGTCAAAAAGGAAGAATGTCCCAGTAAAGGTTGTTGTTGAGACCGGTGATGATAATGCTGATGTGGATCAGCCTGAGAAGAAGAGAAAGTCAAGTGAGAATGTTAAGCCTGAAGGAAACCCGCCTGTTCAACAAGTGTTCAAGACTCTACGATCGTCTGTTAAGCAAAAAGGATCTACTGCTGTTCAAACTACCTCTATACCAGCCCCTTCTGTCAGAAAAGGGAAGCCATCCACACGATCAAGAGGTCGAAGTATCACCCCTGAGGTCCCACCTGTTGAAGAAACTGACCCATCTGTTTACCGGCCTCAGTTTGTATCTCCTGCTGCATAGACCAAATGGGCCACTATGGTTAGAAGGGATCTTATTGTTCAAAGATCGGTGGACAAGAACTAGCTGAACTCCGTTTGTGACATTCTGCCCTTGCTGAATGAAGTCGGATTGTTGAAAACTGTCACGGACATCTGCCCTTACTCTAAGCTGCTCACATATGAATTCTATTGCAATCTCAATGATGAGATTGACGTTCTCACAGGGCCACGACCGATGCAGATCTTTATCAGAGGAAGGTGGTATGTTTTTGGGCCGGATATGATTAATGAATACTATGGCCTGCCAGCAGTTCAAGAAGAAGCTGTTACTGACTGGGACTTAGTTGCCAGAACTCTGACCGGTGGGCAGACAGAATCATGGCCTACGGGTGACAAGGACTATCTGTAAAGCTCCCATATCACGTCCAGATATGTGATTTTACACCGCCTAGCTCTTCACAAATGGCTCCCATCAGCCCATTTTCACACAGTTGGCAAGCTTCTGGCTGGGTTCTTATTTTGAATTGGAACAAAGATGCAACTTGATCTGGGCAAATGGATTTACTATCACATCCTCACCCTGATTCACCCACGCGAACAGAAGGTAAGACTACCCTTCCAAAATCTGATTTTTGGCATCCTTACCACTCAGGGCCTTGAGCCTATGCCCAGTGAAGTGATCAGCCCAACGTTGCTTTATACTGTTGATAAACTTCTTCTGTCTGGAGATCACTTTCGGGATGTTGTTCCTGTGACTGCCCCATCCAATCCTGAACCAGATGCTGTGCCTGATGACTCTCCTCATGCTAAGGATGTTCAGCTTTCCATACAGCTGAAGGCAAGAGTTGCTGATCTTGAGACGGTGCACAGCATTATTGCAAAGCAACTGACAGGTGCCCGTACTGAGCTAGCTACTGTTCTTCTTCGTTTGAGCCTGACTGAAGCTACTGCTGCTGCTGATCCTGTGAAGTCTGACAGTGACTCTCCCTCCAATGCTTGATCTTTGGCTACCATTGGCAAAAAGGGGGAGTAGTATGAACTCAGGGGGAGTTTAATTTTTTTTTTTTTTGTTTTTGGTTGAGTCCCTTCTGGCCCTGGCTGGGCGTTTATGTTTTTTTTTTTTTTTATCCTAAACTGTTTTGGACCCTATGTTTCTGTTTTCATTCTATGTAATCGGTTCGGACATATGGGTTGCTTCTTTATAATAACCTATCTTAGATCTTTGAGTTTCTAGTCGAGTTGTTTTGCTAAATAATAGCCAAACGGGGAGTTTGTTAGTGTTTTTAAATGTTCAAAAACCCCATATTATAATTGGCAATATTATTATGGCATACTAAGATAGGTTTAGAGTCTGTCCGTTTATCTCTACAGATAACTGATCAATCAGAAGCAACAACAGAATGACTGACACTAAAGATCTGATTTAGGAAGCTGGTTTCTTAAAAGGCTTACGCGGTATTATCAAACTCATATGGAAAGATGATCAGCGTATATTCTTAAGAAAGGTATGAACCTAATCTTCTGAGATTACATTCCTCTTTTATAGTCCTACCTTCTACGATCAAAGACATCTATGGAGAGTGGTTATTGAAGGATCTATAAGTACCCTTATTCGAAGAGAATTAGGGTTACTCCGAAAGTAAGAAGAAACACTCCATATCTGCTATATGAGATTAGATCTTTGATTGTCATGCATCTTCTCAATACAATATGTTCACGGTGATTAAGATGATGAACTTGAGAAGAGTTACTACTGCTTAAACGAAAGGACACTGTGATCACACTGTTGTGGGAACAACTTTATAGAGCGTCATTGAAGTGGACTGCATCAGAGTGGGCTCTCCAAGTGAAGGGACTTCATTGGACTTCTGTATGCATGGCTCTCCATCTTCAACAATCCACTAGACCTGTGTAGACTGGGTTTGAACCTTGTGTGGGGCACTTGGGTAAGATTATTGTATATCTACCTTTGTACATTGGTTTATGATTTAGTGGATTGGACGCCTATGTGATCGTCCCCCAAACGTAGATACACACCGTATCGAACTGGGTAAACATTCTGTGTCTTTGGCTTTTGTGCGGTTATCTTTCTCTTATTCTCTCTTCGTGATCTATCATTACTGATTGGCCTCTTATCTGAATCAATAAGTAATCTACATCAGTCATCTAATTCTGTCAATTTACTTAAAATGAGGAATTGCAAAATTACAAGAGACACAGGCGCAAGGGTTTTCCCTTACTAATGTTTCGGCTTAAGTCTTATACTGACTTAATGAGTGGCAATGTGTCTGAAAAGCATCTCATTGGTATGATATATTACTTCTTTTCTCTATATTATATATCCTATATCCTTAATCCTATGTTTTCATTCTACTTTGTTCCATTTTAACTCTTCTATTCCCCTTTTAGATGTGATTGGTAGAGTGGTGGAGTACTATAGTCCAAAAGAGATTCTTATAGCTGGATTTCCTTCGAAATTGGTGGATTTTCTCATAGAAGATGGCCAGTAAGTATTCTTTCTCTTCTAAATTTATGTACATATATAAAACTGTAGTAATAGTTTCATTTTTTTCCTAATTATAAACTGCTTATAGATAAAGGCAGATTTAACTAAATCTTAAAAAAGAAATTGAACATTTTAAGTACATACCAGGTCACTGTTTAATGCATTCAATTTTTCACTTTGATCAGTACTGTAGTTTCACCTGCAGTTAAAAGAAATATTCTATAAGAAAAATAGCATAAAGATTGTATGTATTCAAATCTGTGATTGTAGAAGAAAATCCTATAAGAAAATCTTACTAAAGTCAACTACTAGAAATCAAGTGATTCGACTCAAATATCTATTATACAAAAAATTCTTATCTTTTTCAATTTCTTTCTATAATCCTTAATGTTGTTTTCAATCACATTGTAAGTCTTGTGCTATTTGAAAATCCAATCTGAAATCCAGTAGGACAGATTCAAATTTATTAAAAGACTAGACTTTAACATGTTAAATACATACCAGGCCACTGTTTAAAGCATCAATTATATCACCTTTAGGTGTAGGGTAGTTACACCTGCAGTAAATTAAATATTCTATAAGCAAAATAGCATTAAGCAATCAACTCAGTATAAATTTATTCAGTACAATATATTTTATCTACTTACAATCTGTTTATCTCACTTTTAGGGGCAATCGTCTTAAGTGTACTGTTTGGGATCAACATGTTGATACAGCCATGCATTATTTCAAGACCCACGTGGAAGGGCCTTTGATTGTTTTACTCCATCTCTGTCGAGCAAAGAAAGTGGATAGTAAGTGCATGATAACTTATTCATTAACATCTAATTCATTATTTTTTAACAAATTTCTGTTTCTAATGTGTAGATGAATTCAGAATTTCATCCACCTACAATGCAACACAGTTATGGTTTAATCACTCTTGCAGTGAATTTCAGGAATTTAAAGACAGGTAATTCCACATAATTTGTATTTTGAAGCAACTTTCCTAGATCAACATGTTCACTGTTTTTTTTCTTTAATCTGCAGTTTGAAAGTTGATACCAGGCCACCTCTAAGTGTGCAAACTGTGTCTCAAATTTCCTATGGAAATGCTGCAGAAAGTTCAAAATCTCCTATGATAGTAACTACTATCGAGGATCTGTATGAAAGAGCCGAGGTACAATGTAACTTAGTTTAATCTTAACATTCTATTTTGATCTTTTTAATCCTAATTTTTCAATTTTATTTAATTTGAACTAACAGGAAGGCTACTACTGGGTTCCTGGAAGGATTGTTGCTGTGGAGAGTACTACAAATTGGTATTACCATTCATGCAGGAGTGAGGGATGCTTTAGAAAATTGCACTTGAAGAGTGGGGCTCTACAATGCCTAACATGTGGCACAACATGGCAGGAGGGAAACCTAAGGTACAGGCTGATTGTGAGGGTAGGAGATAAAACCACTGATGCTCCTTTTCTGTTGTGGGACAAGGAGTGCTGCGAAATTTTTGGAAAGACTGCATTTGATCTAAGGAGCAAATACTCTAAGGTATTTTTTAGACAACAACCAAAAAAAGATGACTATACAGTTTTGTTGAGTGTATTTTTTTTTTTTATGAAAGTGTTTGTATTTAAACACTTTTATTTTTTTCCAGGATGGGTCTCCTCTCCCAACTGGTATGGAAGGGGTCCGTAATAAGGCTATGGTCTTCAAGATTTCAGCTAAGAATAATCATTTCAAGAATAAAGCAATAGCTATACCTGTGGTTGCAATAGCACATGATTCAGACTTAGTTGATCATTACTGCCCCTGTTTAAGTGATGATCAAAATCAGCTATCAAGGATGCTAAATGAAGATGATCAAGATGCAGAGTCTGATGTAAGTATTTAAGTAATGGTCACTTGATTGAATAAACTAGATACTTAATGGTCTAACTAATTGTTGGTTCTTATTTATAACAGGAATCTGAATCGGGTGATGAGGCAAGCAGTCCCAATCCTACTCAGGCTAAGAAGCAAAAGCTGGATGAACAAGAAGAGCCACTGGAGCCAGTGTCATCAAAGAGGAACTTACTTGATCAATTTTCATCCAGTAGAGATGCAAAGAAAACAAAGACTGTTTTGGTTAAACAGGAGAAAAGTTAATGTTCTGTTCTGTGATTAAATGATGGACAAAGATGATTGAATATTGGTGATTTGGGTGGACATTGTTTTTGTAAGCAGGATTTTGATAATATGTACTCCTAAGTACATATTATGTGTGATTGGTGATGGTTTGCCATAGACATTAGGCACTTTGGTGCAGTGCTTTCTTATGATACTGTTAAAAATGATTTTTGTATGCTTTATACTATGGTTTGTCTATTTTCCTAAGTCATTGCAGGTATGAACAGGCAGAGATCAGGTAGCATGCACAAGAAACAGAATGATAAAGAAGGCTAATGGCAGTGGATTTAAATAATGTACTTATCTGTTAGGGATAGTAATTCTCATGTTGTGGTCCTTGAACTTTCAGTCCACCTGAAATAAAGGAATTTGTACTTATATCAGTTCCAAAAGTGTACTGTGTCATTTGTGATTGTCTTTTAATTGAATGAATAATAAAGCTATGATTACCATTTGGTACCTTAGACACATATTTTACTTCAATATCACCTGTTGAGCTTCAAAATCTTTTCAGGGCATTATACAATAGTCAAAGGCCTATAAAGGCAAATCCAATTCAAACCCAATTCAATATCATCTGTTGAGCTTCAAAATCTTTGTAACATTAGTTACAAAGTCAGCCAACATTTAAAGTTTAACCAACCCAATAATATCATACAAAACAGTTAGAATATCAAATTTAAATGTCTATAAAGGCAAATCCAATTCAAACCCAATTCTTTTTCCTACATCTCAAAGTCAAGTTATCTTTATCAAAACATCTTTATCAAAAACTTCAAATAAGGACTACAACTAAATTTCAAAGTCAAGTTATCTTTATCAAAACATTTTAGCCAATCAAAACAGTCAAGTACTAAAAAATAAAGTCTATACCAGTTGTGCCAACATACAGTATATATATTCAAACCAAACCATTGAGACAGAATACACAACATGTCAGCTCGATTAAGTAGTTCTGTTTAATCAGATAACAATATGAAGTAAACTCTTCTCAGATATGAAAATCCAAATTCTCAATCAAATACTCGAATAACAGCTTCAATAAAGAAATAGAATGAAAATTGAACTCAAAGTTATAGTTATCAGAAGTATAACACTAAAGAAATAGAATGAAAACTACGAGATACACAGTAATTTTTTTCCTCAAATGATTTAGGGACTAAAAATGATCTGTTCTCATATTACACAGGTTGCACCATTTATTTGATGCAAAGCGACAAATAGTTTATAAATTACAAAGGTTAGATAAGCAGATTGGAAACTACTAATGGAAATTCCCATCAAGATTGTGAAATCTGGACAACAAGGTTAGCCCCGTAAGTGTGTACACCATAACGCCTTCATTTGTGGTCTTTGGCAGTAGCAAAAACACTTAATGGTAATGGAAACTCTGAAATCTAATGGCATCAGAAATTCATATCATCATGTGTCATTTCCTTGAAAACAAATGTTAGAATCTGAGTAAATTAATTCAAACAGAAATGAAGTCTATTCAAAAACAAAAAATAATAAATCAAATAAACTGAGATTCAAATAGAGGATTGGATCTAAAATTGTAAAACAAAATACACATATACTAATTAGGTGATTTTTGGAATCAAAACTTAATTTCAACATATGGCAGGATTAATGCTGGGATTAAATCCTATCTTTTCAATATGTGTCTTTTCTGCTTCCCAATAGAAGTAAACATTAATAAAGGAATAGCAAAATTCTAGGGAATTTCATTTTTCTTTAATGTTTGACACTCACATACACTCAGATATTCACATTTAAATGCAGAGTACACAATTCATTTTCAACTAAACTCACTACTGTCAGAAAAACACTTACCAAACGTTAAGCAGTTCAAATCAATGAGGAAGTTAACTAAATCAACTGTCATCGGTGCCAAAAGGAAGGATACAATTTCAAATAAAGGTATGCTACTGATCAACATTCATCAAAACGTCTATTACTGTCACAGTTTCTGAATAAAGAAAAAATTTTATTCTCCTATTCATATTGAACATTTTTTATCTTGCAATTACAAACTGTATAACCTTAACTCAAATCTGTATGAATTTAAAGTGGTGATTTCAAATCTGTCGAACAAGGATAACAATATAGTAGGGGTAAGTTAAAAAGAATTATTTATTGCTAATTATAGGAAATCTACACATTAGAGACTGCAAATTAATAACAATCAAGTGCAACAGATAACACTAAGATGCAATTTCACCTAGGTTAAAACCCTACCTATACAGACATACAGTTTAGCATACATAATTCGAATTGAAAATCGATTTACATCTAGATTTTTTGGGCAAAAATAGTAAAGATTAAGTAAGTTTGAGTACGAAAAATACTTACCTTCATTCAATTGTTTAGCTCCTTCAAAAGAAACCCTACTGAGAAGGTTGACGCAATTGTAAATTAGACCGTCTGCGTACATCCATAGCTATGTAATACAGATCTAGGGTTTCTCTAGGTTGCATCCGTAGAAACAACCAACCATCTCAGCAGATCTAGGGTTTCGCCCAATTCTATCTCTCACTCGAAGCGAATCACAGTATAGGCTGCGATCTAATCAAGAAGGAGTTTCGTTTATAAGGGCGATTCCAAATTCAGACGCCATTAACGTCTAAAATATCTGGATTAGATCGATAGATAGAGAGAGATAGCGAGAGATAGACAGAGTGATGACATCGTAGAGAGAAGACGATGCGTAGACAGTGGGAGTGATGATCGGATGGTGTCCAGAAGTGAGACTTCTGGACACTTCGATCCTTTTTATTTTTTTTTTATTTTTTTTGGTATATATATATATATATATATATATATATATATATATATATATATATATAGAATTCTTATTTATGTTTAAATTCTATATAGGTAGTGGACACCATAAGTGTGTACACCATAACGCCTTCATTTGTGGTCTTTGGCAGTAGTGAAATTCAATACTGAACTTTTTTCCTCTCCAAAAGGTTTAATAGTACACTTAATGGTAATGGAAACTCTGAAATCTAATTGCATCAGAAATTCATATCATCATGTGCCATTTCCTTGAAAACAAATGTCAGAATTTGAGTAAATTAATTCAAACAGAAATGAAGTCTATTAAAAAACAGAAAATAATAAATCAAATAAACTGAGATTCAAAAAGAGGATTGGATCTAAAATTGTAAAACAAAATACACATATACTTATTAGGTGATTATTGGAATCAAAACTTAATTTCAACATATGGCAGGATTAATGCTGGGATTAAATCCTATCTTTTCAATATGTGTCTTTTCTGCTTCCCAATAGAAGTAATCATTAATAAAGGAACAGCAAAATTCTAGGGAATTTCATTTTTCTTTAATGTTTGACACTCACATACACTCAGATATTCACATTTAAATGCAGAGTACACAATTCATTTTCAACTAAACTCACTACTGTAAGAAAAACACTTACCAAACATTAAGCAGTTCAAATCAATGAGGAAGTTAACTAAATCAACTGTCATCGGTGCCAAAAGGAAGGATACAATTTCAAATAAAGGTATGCTACTGATCAACATTCATCAAAACGTCTATTACTGTCACAGTTTCTGAATAAAGAAAAAATTTTATTCTCCTATTCATATTGAACTTTTTTTATCTTGCAATTACAAACTATATAACCTTAACTCAAATCTGTATGAATTTAAAGTGGTGATTTCAAATCTGTCGAACAAGGATAACAATATAGTAGGGGTAAGTTAAAAAGAATTATTTATTGCTAATTATAGGAAATCTACACATTAGAGACTGTAAATTAATAACAATCAAGTGCAACAGATAACACTAAGACGCAATTTCACCTAGGTTAAAACCCTACCTATACAGACATACAGTTTAGCATACATAATTCGAATTGAAAATCGCTTTACATCTAGATTTTTTGGGCAAAAATAGTAAATATTAAGTAAGTTTGAGTACGAAAAATACTTACCTTCATTCGATTGTTTAGCTCCTTCAAAAGAAACCCTACTGAGAAGGTTGACGCAATTGTAAATTAGCCCGTCTGCGTACATCCATAGCTATGTAATACAGATCTAGGGTTTCTCTAGGTTGCATCCGTAGAAACAACAAGCCATCTCAGTAGATCTAGGGTTTCGCCCAATTCTATCTCTCACTCGAAGCGAATCACAGTATAGGCTGCGATCTAATCAAGAAGGAGTTTCGTTTATAAGGGCGATTCCAAATTCAGACGCCATTAACGTCTAAAATATCTGGATTAGATCGATAGATAGAGAGAGATAGCGAGAGATAGACAGAGTGATGACATCGTAGAGAGAAGACGATGCGTAGACAGTGGGAGTGATGATCGGATGGTGTCCAGAAGTGAGACTTCTGGACACTTCGATCCTTTTTATTTTTTTTTTTATTTTTTTTTGGTATATATATATATATATATATATATATATATTATTTGATCAACTTGGCACATCAGATCAATAATTCAACAAAAGTCATGCCAGAGAAAATTCAAAATTGGAGGCTACCCATTCCAAAGAAAAGCTTTGTCAGATTAAAGGAGAGCAACGGCGAGATTTCTCAAAATCTTCTGACAGACGGCGAAATGATTTTTGCAGACCAAGTTGGCAAAATTAATTGATCAACTACAATTCAAAATGAACGATCAAGATCGAAAGTTGATCAACGGGCAAATAGCTTTCATCTGCTATAAATTGCCCAAGCAGACTTGAAGACAAGCACGAATCTAACAGAGATTCAGAAAACACTTGAACAACAAAGAAAATTATCCAATCAATCATCAAGTGGTATATTGAGCTATATAAGATAGAATTCAAGTCTAAGAGAAGAAATCTTTGTATTTCATTGTAAATCTTCTACTGAGTGTAGAAAAGGGGTAGAGTAACTAGGGAGAGTGAAAAACCCAGTTGGAGTGTAGCTTTGTGCATAGCACTCGGTTGTAACGGGCAGAGTAACAAGGGGAGCTTG